TTGCCACTTACTTTTCTTCAGTTGTAAATACATCAAAGCATCCATTGGCCAATATCTGATCCAGCATCTTTAGCAGTGGAACAAATACCCTAATGAGGAAAGCATAAAATACCATGTTTACGCACTTCACATTGACACAACTCACATATAATAAACACTTTATATATTTGCTCTAAAGTCAGATGATCAAAACTGAGTCCAACCAATTTTGGAATGATCAAGAGTTAATTTGACATATTGTGAACAAGCAAGATGCCGAACATATGTAATCCACTAACAAATTCCTGATGTCTTTAAGGTTTATAAAGAATGATTTTAACAACTGGGAACATTTCATCTTGAAAACAGATAAGCAGAGGATGTGGGCTGAAGCACAATAACTCTTCAGCTATCTAAGAAGTACTGTTTGCTACACTTCAGAAAGAATTACATAAATAGAAGACACAGAAAGTTACATGAAAACAAATTTTGACTAAATACCGTTTTCCCCAAAATACTACCTACCCTGAAAGTAAGTCCTAGATTGATTTTTACATGTGCACCCAATATAAGCCCTAACCCCAAAAATAAGCCCTATTTAAGATCCCACTCATTCCAGGGTGCACAGGTAAAAATTAAGCTAGGGTGGGGATGAGGGGGGTGGAGCTCTCCTACTACTTACCTTTGGACATTTGTAGCCAAGCATCGCATACCCCGACACCTGCCTCCCCGGTCCATTTCTTCTGCAGCTGGTAAGGCTGGCAAGGCTTTCCTGAAGGCCTCTGTAGCTGATAATAAAGCTCTGGATTGATCCGGAGTTCTGTTATTAGCTGTAGAGGCCTGCAGAAAAGCCTTGCCGGCCACAGAAGAAGTTCCTGAAAGCCTCTGACAGCGAAAAGAAGACTAAGGGTGATGTGCGCAAGTGAAGTTAGTCAGTGGATGACATCCCCCCGAAAATAAGACCTGGTGCCTTTTTTGGTGGCAAAATAAAATAAGACAGGGTCTTATTTTCAGGGAAACACAGTATATTAGACAGAAAAAAACTCCTAACAATAAGAGTTCAACATGAAATCACCTACTTAAATGACTAGTTTAAATGCCCCCTTCTACTCTAATTCCGTTATTTCTCACTTCAAAGAAAAACTTTTGCTACATGCATATAGCAGAAATAATAGATACATGAGAGATCCCACTATCACTCTCCTATGTTCATAGTACTCAGGAAATTGGAATGTTTAATTTTCACTATCAACTAATTCGGTCAGAATTTTCTTCTTGTCCAAATTGGTTCTGAAAATAAAAGTGGACTCCAAGGAAAATTTGCAGGGAAGGAGAATCAGGTATGTGGAAATTTAGCATTGGTTCTGCACATCTTCCTAACTCTCTTGCTGGCATCTCCCCCGCACCAATCATGTTCTACTGTGGCAAATGTAAACACAGTGCATTTGGATTTCAGAGAAGGATAATGGCACAAAGAGACATTATGACTGTCTAGGAGACATCTCTAATTAGATGCAGTTAAGTTGGACATGGGCTACCACATAGATCACTGTAATAAATGCAATCTGTTTGAAATGTGGTATGGGAAATTCTGAACAATTATGAGCTTGATTGGATATCATAGCTTCTTTTTAATCCATGTAAATGTTCACTGAAACTCTGTTTTTTTATTGTAGTATCTGCTCTTTTACATTTTTGTTGAAAGATTATAATGGAAGATAAGGGAGGCCTAGAGGCAGCCAGATTGGAAATTAGACTGTATCAGAGAACAATTCTATCTGTTTGAAAAGTCAAACCCTGATAGACAAATTGATTACTAGAGTGAGTAAAATTTGTCATTCTGAATGAACAAGATGACTATAAATTCAAAAAAGGGCTTTGAAGTTGAGGAGTTAATCTCTACACTATCACTTTATTTAACATCTGTATCAGTTATTTGCTTTTTAGCTATGCCAGTTTCTGTGAAATTAGTGATCTGTGGGTGGTCATCATGATAATTATTTTGAGATATAACTGTTATCATTTTCTTCTTTGAGAATCTATGAGAAAATGTTCCAAAAGCCACCAAGCTTCAAAAAGTCTGTCTAATTAGCTTGCCTGTGTTCTTTAAATTCTCATAGTCCTTTGCGTTTTAATAGCTCTGATGTTTGTCTACCAANCAGTCAGCTGAAGTAGCCTGCAGTGCTGCATTTAACCACTGCGCCACATAGAAGGATCAGCATATGCATCATTTGTACCTTCCCATTGCTTCAGTCAGTTCTATACTGAATAAGGCAGGACTCCACTTTTTGAACCATGTAAATTATGGATTTGGGCTGTGTGCTGGAGAGCTGGTGCTTCAAGGACATTATGTATGGTTCCTTCCCCTCATGAAAAGGCAGAAAGCTGGCCATGACTCTCCAGTTTTTCCAAATCACTTTGACTTACGATCACAGTCTGGGCATTTGGCGCCCACAATGAGAACAATGGAGTGAAGACGGTAGTGGAGCTAAAAGAGAGTGGAGCAGGTAGTTGGGGTCAGAGGGTGTGGTGCCTGGTAGAATGGTATAGGGTAGAAAATAGTGTGTTTGTTTGTATAAAATGAACTAATGCTGGGTACTAAAGAAGAAACATCCCAAAGTCCTGATCAATTAACTGGAAAGATGATTGTGTGAACTCAGGTTCTTTGGTTTGGGAAGGGTTAGGGAGACTTTTATTTAGGGGAATAAAAGACAAAACCATCAATCTTTTAAATGGTCAGATCACTTTCTATTCATCTTAGTTCTTTGCAATGACCCTTCACTGTAGAAAGAAGAACTTATTTGACTAATCTGCTCTAGATTCCCAATGGGCCCTGTTGGGTTTCAATAAGATTTTGGGGATATTTTGAGGCTCTGGTGCATAGTTCACCTGAGGCCCTCTTGACTGACTGGAGCAGGATGCCAGGACAGTGGCAGGGGGATCAAATTGCACTTTGGCAGCCTCTCTGTAAGCAATTCCCATGATTCCCAGAAAAAAAATGATGCCCAGAGTGCCTCTGAAAATAAATAATAAATCTGATCAAATACTTCTCTAAACATTTCTTGAGGGAGATCCAGTTCTTAAAGAAATTGTGATTTCTCAAGAAATCTTTCCTAGATACAAAAGAGTAAACTGTCTGGTGTCCAACACTCCCTTTTGGGGTAAGGTTATCAAGAGTGGCTGTGCAACTACAGAAGAGTCTGGATGATTGCGTATTATATGGACTCCTTCCAGATGGATTACAGACTAAGATATAGCACTCAGATAGTATTGATTACATTTACAGATGACTTTTGGCAGGACCAGGATGGAGATGCATGCATGCCAGCCAATCTTGAACTTGGGTTCTCAGCATTTGCTGGAAGAGCAGTTGACAGCCACGGCAGGGAAGCCTGTGCACAAATCATCTTATCTGTGAACTGAGCCCACTCATGGTCTTTGATGTCCATCTCTCTCTCTCTCTCTCTCTCTCNATAGATAGATAGATAGATAGATAGATAGATAGATAGATAGATAGATAGAATAATTAGTTTTGGTATTAAATTGTTATGTAGAATTAACTACATACTAGGAGGAAAAAGCAAAGGAACATATTGCCCAGGTGACTGTAATATTCTCCTAGCCAAGGTTTTTTTAAAATACCTAATGACACAGAGAAAGACCTGAGTACAGTGGGAAATTTAGAGGAATCTTTCTATCAGCATTTCAGCTTGCTCCTCAGTGACAAATTGTTCAGCTGTTTTATATAAAAAGGTGATGTTTTACTAGTCCCTAATGGTTTCAGGACATGCACGTACTCTTGCCATTTACAATGGATATTTAACAAAGCAGTAAGCAATTTCTTCTACTAACAAGTTGTCACTGGAAGCAAAGCATGGAGTTCTGGAGAAAATTCCATTGGCAACGATCATGGCTTGTTTGAGATGCAGGATTTCCATTGGCATTCTATATGTATCATGTTACAGGGCCAGCTTTTGACAGAGTTTTCTCCACAGATTACAGAATTCATTCTACATGTTTATACCAGTTTTTCCCAAACTGTGATGTGTACCTTCCTTGGGGAAGTATAGAGTCCAGGGGAGGTATGAAAAGTCTTTTAATTTACTATTGCTTAAATTTATATGCTGCCCACCTCACTATTTAAGCGACTGTGACTTACAAAATGATAAAAAGTACGAAGAAGTTGTTCATAGTTACCTATTTTAGTATCTAAACCAAAGAAGAAGAGATACAGGTAGTCCTCAATTTATGACCACAACTGAGCCCAAAATTTCTGTTGCTAAAGTAAGATATTTGTTAAGTGAGTTTTGCCCTGTTTTTACCACCTTTCTTGCCACAGTTGTTAAATGAATCACTCTAGTTGATAAGCTCATAATCCGGTTGTTACGTGAATTTGGCTTCCCCATTGACTTCGCTTGTCAGAAGGTCACAAGTGGTGATCACGTGACCCCGGGACACAGCAATGGTCATAGGTAAGAACCAGTTGCCAAGCATCTGAATTTTGATCACATGACCATGGGGATGCTACAAAAGTTGCAACTGTGAAAAACGGTCATAAGTCACTTCTTTCAGTGCCGTTGTAACTTTGAGTGGTCGCTAAATGAACTGTTGCAAGTCGAGGACTACCTGTAATTCTGAGTATGTAAAACATTTACTTGCAGATGAAAATCCCAAGATTACAGGGTGAACAGCCAGATTTTTAACTATGGCTATAAGAACAAGGCTTTTAGTAACAAATCAATACTGAGGTTTTAATCCTACTATGTATTATTTATTATTATTTTTTATTTTATAAATTGTTTTATCCAATGCCAACTTTAGTTTATATTCGTAACTTGCTTTTAAGCTTTTTGGCCATCATAAAATTGATTGACGTTCTTACCCCTTTTATTAAGTTTTGTCTGACAAGAAAAACATGGTAAGAGATATATTTATATATTTATTTATGCAAATAAATTCATAGTATTATAGTCTTAACTGCGCTTGCTACTAGGTACAGGAATACAGAAAAGTTTACATACTGTGCAACCGCTTTCAGGCCATCTCTTCTGGATTCAGCAAAACTCACACCTCCAGAAATCGAAGTGGCTTTTTTCAAAGCGTCTAAAACCTCAGAGAATAAAAGAAAATCCAAACACTAAAACTAGTCCTTGACTACGTTTCTCATAAAGTATTAGGCAGAATAATGGAGATGAAGCAGTTACAATAAAGTGGGGTGCAGAAGAAAAATAGTGGATGGTAACGAAGGTATGTAATAGATTTGCACATTACAGATGAAGCAGAACTTTTCATGTGGTTTATTAAAGATGTGCATTACATTCAGTCAGATATCAAGGCTGATTTTCATTTACAAGGGTGACAAGACAAGCCTAAACCTGTCCCGTTTCAGTTCTGTAACTCCATGAAGTTTGGCTTCCGTGAAGCTCCAGCCCATTGCAAAAGACAGATTAGCAGCGCTTGCGCATGTACCCACCACCCAAGTAATTCCCAGAAAGAGAAAGGAGGAGGATTACTGGATTCAGTATCCAGCCAGCCTGTCCTTGAATCAAAGTGATCCTAGTAACAAGGCCCATTGGCTGCCTCTCTCAGTGGATCTTGGGAGTGAGCCTTATTTATGTTTTGTTCCACCTTGCTGATGCCTATCCTGAGTGGATTGTACAATAATATTTTGTGATCTGTTTTGACTGGTTGCTTTGGCCATACGATCTAGTTTTATTACTTCCACCTCAACCACTGATAAGCCAGTTGTGCTTTATTTAAGAGATGTCATAATTTCACATTGATCTTTTCAAAATCCATGAGATTTTGTCTTGAAACCACCACATATTTACAGTGATTGTCACCACTGTTAGGGTTTATAAACCACATAGTCTCAATGTCTATGAAATCTGTTATCCTGCAGCCATTCAAATCAGGATCTATACCACTATCTATACTCTCTTGTCTCTTTTCTGAATTGGAAGTGGTGGCTTCTTCTTTGAGATTGTCATATAAGGTGAAGATAAAGGTTCCCCTCGGACATATGTGCTAGTCATTCCCGACTCTAGGGGGTGGTGCTCATCTTCGTTTCAAAGCCGAAGAGCCAGCCCTGTCCGAAGATGTCCCCGTGGTCATGTGGCCAGCATAACTAAACACTGAAGGCGCACAGAACACTGTTACCTTCCCACCAAAGATGGTTCCAATTTTTCTACTTGCATTTTTACAAGCTTTCAAACCACTAGGAAGCTGGGAAAAGTAATGGGAGCTCACTCCGTTATGTGGCACTAGGGATTTGAACCGCTGAACTGTCGACCTTTC